AGACATTATACCCCCTTTGCCCTGCGTGTAGATGCAGGGTAACCCACTTTAATACTTGGTTTTCATACTGGCTTCTCCCCCTAGAAGAAAGTGATGGCAGAATCATTTCTCTACTGAAATATTGCCCTCTTCTACCCCCACCATGCCACCTCCAGTAGATACATGCACTCTGTAAAACCCATAGCATTCCTCAGAATCAGGGCCATCTAAAGGCATATGAACTCCCAGGGAAGAAAGCCCACCATTCATAGGCGTTCTACCAGTAACACAGCCTAAGTCTGGAATTGAACTGCCAGCTAGACTCTCAGCTCAGCTGTTCAGTCATTATGTGACTTTTGGGGATTCATTTTCCTGCCCTATAAAATGGTGATAAGATAATAATGGGGTTATTAAGAGATTGAGTTATTTTTGTAAAGTGTTTAGAGGGTAAAGTGTTTAATTAGTGTAAAGTGTAATATATCTGGCATATAGTAAATGTTATGAAAGTAGTTTCTCAATAAGTGGGTGAGGAAGAGGAGAAATGGATATGGGTAGAAAAGTAGAGCTAGCATGAATTACGTCATAAAAGGAAATAATAATACAGGTAACATAAAATAGACTGTGTAATACAGTAATATGAGTTTCATTAATTTCTTAAGCCAAAGAATATTAATTAATTAAGTGCTGTTACCTTAATTAAAGATCTATGAGACAATGGCTTTATAAGGATACACTACTCTTTGTTCTTTTGAGGAAAATGAGGATTTCATGTCTGCTTCGGTCAATTGCTTCTACACAAATTGTAGACCCTGGGATTTAAAGTCAAAACAAATTAAACGCTTGTATAATTAAGTCTATATTTGGGACACATCAGCAAAAGGTCCTAGGAAAACACATACTCTTCAGAATGAGCTATCTCCTCTTTCATTCATATGTTATCTTATTCCATTTTTAGGTGTCTGGCTATTATTAATTTTTTTAGATATATAAAATGTCTCTCTTATCAACCATATATGGTTATTTAAGACAGATAGATTTGAATTCTAAGCTCAGTTCCACCACTGACTCTGTGATCCTAGGCACCTTACTTTCTAATCCTTAGTTGCCTTATCTGTAAAATGAAGATGGTAAACATGTTAACTTCCCAGGATTCTAGTAAAAGTTAGAAATGCAATAAAGTGCTTGGCACAGATCCTACCACAGAGCAAAAGCTTAATGAATATCCTAACATCACCACCATCATCATTATTTTTAAAAATCTACTTAATTGAGGTATAATTTACATACAATAAAATGCTTTTTGAAAAATGTCATCAGTTTTGACAAATGTCAACACTTGTGTGAACATCACCACAATTGAGACACAGACCATTTCTATCACCCCAAAGTCATTATTTTGAAATAGGAACATTAATGTTTTATCCAGTAATAATACAAAGTAACTGCATAAAGCAACATATAAAAAAGAATAAATAAACACTAATTAGAATTACAACCCACGGATGGGGATGTTGCAGAAGGGGCATCTGTTTTGAGGGGACTGGGGGACTGGGCAGGTATACTACAAATTTTGGCTTCTGCAATTCCCTCTCTTCCTTTTGGCACGTTCTTTGTGGGAGCAATTCTTCCCAGTGCTTTCTGTGTTAGGAGTGGGGCTGCTTCACCCCTGGCTTCAGTTCTTGTCATTTCTGCTAGAATTCTGGGAAAGAAAACTCTCTTACTGATAACTGCCGGATGTTAAGTTTGAAGAAGGAGAGAGAGCCACTGAGAATAAAGAAATCTTTCTTATTGCTAATTGCTGGATGTAAGTTTGAAGAAGCAGAGATTGCCACTGAGAAGGAAGGCACCAGAGGAGGGCCAGCTGAGGGATGGAAAGAGATCTTGTGTTGATGTCATCATCTGAATACCTGGAGACCACCCCGAAGCTGCATCTATCCCTGGTCCTCAGTTACAACAGGACCTATGAACCTTCAGCATGGACCAGCCCTGTGCTTCAGTGTGTAATTAAACGTGGTTCAGGAACCACGAGTGAGTGGCGGGCTCTCTAACCAAGCAGGCTCAGAGAAAACATACATGAGCATGCTCTCTCACTTTCTACAAATGGGAGGTAATTGTATGGCAGATGTAAAATTAATTGGATAACTGAACTCAGAAATCATATGGATTTAAAATACATTGATACGGAAAGCAGAATTATTTGGACTGTTAGGCTAATTTGAAGAAATTCAGACACCCACCCAAAGAATTTAGGCCCAGTCATTTTCCCTAAATTCTTTCTATATTTCATATGAAAGTGATTTCTGGGCCTTAACTGTTTTCTTCTATCTGTCTCCATAGCTACAATCTATTCTGTCACATGAGTCATTGTTTCTTCCTTATTAAATATGTGTCCCTCCTGTTGGCATTGTGAACTTTGAAGTAACCTTTGCTGGTCTAAGTGCTGGGGCTGTAGCAATAGATAACACAAGATTTCTACATCATGGAATTTACTTCCTAGGAGGAGAGAGACAACTGTACCTGCCACGTGCCAGTCTGTGGGCTGCAGTACTACTGATTCTTCCTTTAATATTGCCAGAAGTGTGGGAGGTCTTTGTGGAAATTCTGATTAAATTCAAAGGAAATTTACATGTTATCCATACACATACATATTTGTGTGTAGGTGGGCATATAACAGAATGGTTTATGTATATTTAGGTGCCACCTACATTTGGCTAGGAGACCTGGTTCAAGTTACAACTCTAGGCCTCAATTTCTCATCTGAAAAATGGGGATTATCATAGTATCAATCTTACCTCATAGGAATTAAATGCATATAAATAATTTAGCATAGTCTAGCACAAACTAAAAGCTTGATGGATGATATCTCATATAATGTTATTATTGCACATTTTACACATTTGCCCAGTAGACCTCAACGGAATGAAATAATTATAGACCTCATTTTGTTTCATTCATTTAACATCTATTGACTACTGTACCACTGCCAGGCCCATTGTGGCAGATTGCTTTTTTTTCAGAGCCAGCTGCAGCAGAATCTCCCATTGTTGTCACCCTCCCATCTAAAGGTACAGTCTCTCCTTGTACACAGCCTACCTTCTCCTGGCATCTGGGTGTGTGTGTGACTTGCTTGTAGCTAATGAAAGTGGTAGAAGTGTGCGACTTTCCAGGCTAGGCCATAAAAGGTGATGCAGCTTTCCGTAGGCTGGTACGTCCACGCTGGAGTCCTGAGGTGGCCGTGCTGTGAGGAAGCCCAAACTAGGCCACAGAGACCACATGGGGAAGCACTGAGCCCACCCGGAGACAGAGATGCTCAGCTAACTGCTGCAGCTGTGGCTCCCGTCACCATCTGACTGCAAACCTGAGAGACCCTAAGCCAGAACCACCCAGCAGGCTCACCCCCAAATACCCGACCTACAGAGATCACGCGAGAAAGTAAAATGATTGTTGTTGTTTTAAACCAATACGTTTTGGTGTGATTGGTTATGTATCTATAGAGAACTAGAACACCTGCTTTTAAGTGCTCAAGATAGAGCATTAAACAGACCTTATTCTTGGCACGCGAGGAACAACTATTTTTCAGGGTTTTAATTATCAGATAGTTATTTGGACCTGCTGTGAAGTCTAAATTTGTAGATGTAATTAGGAAGTAGATCACATCCATTCATTCATATATGCATTTAATAAATCGTTTCTCTATAAATCGGCTTTCTCTGGCACCTGAGAGTTAGCAATCCTTTCTCCATGTTCCCAAGCACCCAGGCCTGCTCCTATTTTAGCTTATGCAGCATAATTAATGCTTGTTGCTTCTGTTCCTCCCACTGACCAACAGCAGTCAAGTTCATTCTGTTATCTTTGTATCCCTAGCATCTAGCCTAGTGCCTGCACACAACCTATATAAAAAAACAAGTAAGACAAAGCAAACACTTAACAGAAGGAGGGAGGGCTGCTAGTTCCTTCCAATATGGACATACCAGTAATTTCTTCAAGGACAGTCTTTTTCCTCTAGGAGGTCACAGTTCAGCACTAGGCACTGGGAAATCAAGCCTAACAAGTGCAGGGAGTGAGCCGCCTGAATTGATTCAGGCGGAACAGAGGGAGAACAGGGCAATGCTTTGGGGGTGGGAGGTGGAGGGGGCACGGTAAAGAGTCCATTCATTTATTCTGCAAATACTTGTCACCATAGCACACGTAGCACATGGTGAGCGATGTTATAAAATGCCAACACTGTTCCAGGTGTTGGGGATGCAGCAGCGCACGAGCAAACTGCGGTGGCCCATGCCATTTTCAAGCTCACGGCCTAGCAAAGGACCACAGGCAGTGCACATAATTATGTAAAAGTGTGCTAGGTGCCGAGCAGGAAAACAACAGGCGGCTGAAATTCTCGTAGAGATGTTAGATCCTTCGGCTGGGGGCAGCCGCGGGCGAGCTTTGAGCGGGAGTGGCCAGGAGGGGGACGGACTGTAAGGGGGCAGGAAGGCTGCAGGCAAGAAGAGCTGGTAAATTTAAGATGCATATATTTTCTGCCTGGAAGAAGGACCGTGTGTCTACGGTTAACGAGGTCGCTCGGAGCACTCAGGGTTCTCACGGGGTAGGCGGCTGCATTTTGAGTGCCCGGGAGAGCAGGGCGGACTGAGGGGAACTGCTTCTCATGCTCGGCACATTTAGGCTCCTCAGACCTGTAGGTACACCAACTCCCGCTTCGATTCCGGCCGCAGCAGGCCGGCAAGATCCGGGGTGGCTGGGGCTCTGGCACCGCAGCGTTCACTCTCGGGGATCCGGGGTCTGCAACACCGCGCGGGAGGGCGGGGGCGGAGCTTGTGCTGCGGACCTTGGCGGTGGCGGTGGCCCCACCCCCGCCCAGGCACCGCCCCCACCCCAGCCCCAGGCCCCGCCTCTAGGCCCTGCTGATTGGGTCAAGGCCACGGAAGGGCCGGGCATCCCCTGGAGACCGGGGGGTCGGGCTGAGGTGGACGCACTGATTGGCCCGGGTGGGATGAGGTCATCGCTAGCAGGTTCGAGCGGCCCGGACGCCGGCGGGGCCGCCGAGGCTGCTGTGAGAGGGCGCCCGCGGCTGCTGGGGAGCAGACAGGCGAGGGAGGCGGGGAGGCGGCGGCCGCGCTAGCTCGCCTGCTCGGCCGCTTCCCGGCGCCGCTGCGGGTCCGCCGCCGCTCGTCCTGCCGGCCCGCTGCTCCGCTGAGCGCCGCGGGAGCTGCCGCGCGTTGGCCGCGTTCCGCCTCCGTCCGGGAGTCGCGCGCGCCGGCGGACTCAGCGCGGAGGGCGAGCCGGCGCCACACCTGTGGAGCCGGCGGCCGTCGTGGGTGCCGGCCGGGGTCCTGCCGCGCGCGTGCTCGGGGCTGCGGGCCGCCGGGGCCCCGGGGGAGGCGCGTCCCCCAGCTGCGCGGAGCGGGCACCATGGGGCTCCCCGCGCTTGAATTCAGCGACTGCTGCCTGGACAGTCCTCACTTCCGAGAGACGCTCAAGTCGCACGAAGCGGAGCTGGACAAGACCAACAAATTCATCAAGGAGCTCATCAAGGACGGGAAGTCCCTCATCAGCGCGCTCAAGAGTGAGTGCCGCGAGCCCGGCGGCCCCGGCCCCGGCCGGGGTGGGGTGGGAGGCGCGCGCCGGGCCGGTGTCTGTCCCCCGGGGCGCGGAGGGGCGGGTGTAGACGCTTCTGTCGAGGCGGGAAGGATCTGCAAAACGGGCGAGGCTGCTGCAGCCGCCGAGCAAAGAGCCGTCGCCCAGCGGTTTGCCTCCTGGGACGGCCGGGAGATGACCGAGCGCTGGTGGCGCCCGTGGGGCGCCGCGGGTGGGTGTGCGCGGCACACAGGTGTCCCGGGGGGGGTGCGGGATTGTAGTGCCCGGTGCGCCGCAGCCTGTTGGGAAACCCCATCGCGTCCGCGACTTCGGCTCCCTTGGGTGCCCCGCCGTGGGAACGGAGAGAGTCCTGCCAAGGAGGCGCTGCCTCCCCTCGGAAAGAGGCGGGTGGCGGCTGCTTCGCCCCCAGCTGCGCGCAGCCCCAGCCTTCCCGGGCCGCCGGGGGTGCCCGGCAGGCGCCGGCGCTGCCCTGGGAAGGGCTGGCTGGGATGGTGGGTTAGCTCACGATTCTTTGCGGTGTCGGCAGCCAGGAACCCCCACATCTCGAATCAGGGCCATGTACGTGTGCAGGTCTGCTGCTTGCGTTTAGCAGAAGGTGATAGGGGTGGGAGTACAGAACCAGTGTGTTCCTTTACTCTAAAATGTGGGCGGGGGTTTAAAATAGAACGAACATATCCTGACTCTCCGTCGCTCTCCTTTTTACCTCTCCTATTATCCTTGAAAACTCGGAGGTCTGAGAAGGAACGTCCTCGGCCCTCACTCAGAGAGGAGAAGTTTAAACACATCCTTAAAGAGTCTCAAACCTTTTGTAAAACCGTTTTTGCTTATTTCCTTTTGGTAGGGGAGAAATTAAATTTGCATTCTGTGTATGATTTTCCCTTGAGTTTTGCCCAGAGCTGCTGCTTCTGGCCAAACGAGCTCCCGAGGATGAGCGCCTTGGATTGTGAGGTCGTATTTTGGTAGCCTCGACAGTTAACCCATTTAAAAATAGTTTAGTGCATCTTTTAGTTTTGAGAATCAGGGATGACATGAAGCAAAACAGTGGAACTGTCTTTGACCTTACTTTTCCTGTCTCTGTGATGGATTTCTTCATAGGTGATACCTTTCAGCTAAGAAAGGTTGCTTTGGCAGAGTGGGGTCCTAGCTGTGAGAACTGTCCCCAGGCTTCTTGAAAGGAGACTTACAGAAGTCAAGGGCCTGAGATGTTATTTCGTGAGCCTGTTGCTTCTAAAAATGAAGAGGAAGACACTGGAGCTCACGGCAGCAAGTGCCAATCTTTTGGGGTGAAATCAACATAAAACTGTAATATGATGAGGTCCCTTAGTGGCAGGGTCTGGGCTGGAGACTGTGATTTGAAGCATTGAACACACTCTTCCTTTGTCAATGACCAGGGCCATCTTTGGTGTACCCCAGGTCTGGAGTTAAGTTGGGGGCCCACTTTTCTGGCCTGTGAATTTTGATTGAATCTCAGGCCAGATTTATTTGGGCCTCTGCTTTATTCAGCGAACCGTTGGAGAGCCTGCTGTGCCCTGGATACTAGCCTGGGCCCTGAGGATGTGGCAGTGAATATTCTGCTGTCCCTGTGGCTACGGAGACTTACTCCACGCCAGGCACTGCTTCACTCATGAGTTATGTCGTGTATTGTTACTCAGTTTACAAATGAGAAAACAGGCTCCGAGGACTCACTAGCTCAGAACCACATACGTCTAGCAGTGGGGCTTAATTTTGAACCCCTACACGGTCTGAGCTAGAGATGGTGGTCCTGCTGATGTGGAGCTCTTACTCCTGTCCCATCTTGCTTATCCAGAAAGGACCCTCTGGATCAAGCCTGCTGGAATTTGGACTTATATTTGAGGAGGGTGCGTTTGTGTGACTTGCAGCTTAATTGTCTGCTATTTTTTGAGGGGTGGGATGGGGATAGGAATTCTGTGGGTGGAAGGAAACAACGCAGTGATAGGGTTTAAGAATTATATAAATTGTCTAATGGAATGGACCACCCTGTGGGGGAAAGCTAATCTCTAGCCCAGCTCTGTTTCTAAGTGTACTCTGAGTAGGACTACTTGAACAGGTCATGTGACCTCTTAAAATGGAGAGGGTGGAGTCAATCACTATTTCCCAGACTTCATGTTATGGATAGGTGCTTGCTACATTGTATATTACTATATAATTATTCATGTAGTATTTTTCTCCATTTTTATTCTTATCACTATTGTAAATGTGAAGCTAGTGTTTTAAAAAATAAATACGTAATTATATAACACTGAATATTTACAGGTCTTTGGGTTTAGGGTTCCTTTGTGTTAATCTGAGGCAATAAAACTGGCCTTTGGAGACTGCCAAACTTCAGCTAGATCATTGTTATTGCGACTTTCATTTTATGAATTAGGCAACTGAAGATTGATCAGAGAGGTCAGTAACCTGCCCAAGGCGACACAGCAATTAAATGTATTTGTACCCAAGTTGTCTGATTCCAGAGCCTGTGCCTGAACCCTAATGCAAACTGTTGCCTAGGTCACTTGTTTCTGGAATCCCCTTGAGAATCTGAAGAACAAGTGAACCCCTGGAAGTCTTTCCCTGGAGACCAAACTTTTGGTCTAGACACATAGAAGAAGCAATAAGATAATTTAGGATTTACCTTGGCTTCTTCCAGTCAGTTTCTTCTGTGCTGATTTGTCAGGCTTTTTCTGTGCGCACTAATTGCTCAGGACCCTTTCCTTGACCTGATCAATGTGTCTTAGGGGGATTCTGTGGGTTTAAGTCTTTTATTCTTTCAGTACAGGCGATAGAGGCTGGTGGTAAAGTCTAGACTTGTAGAATAAGAGTTTTAGGGTTCCCTGTGTTTGAATCTTGACCCATGACTATGGGCTGACTCTGAGCAAGTCACTAAGCCTGTGCTCCTCCCATGTGAAGTGGGAATAGCCCCCTTGACCTCCCAGGGTCGTTGTGAGGACTGAGTGGCACAGTGCTTGTAAAGAGAGCACCCAGCTGGGAGCCTGGAGCATGGCACTGCTTCGCTGGCAGTAGCTGTGAATCATCTGCCAGTGTTCAGAGCTGTCAAGACTTGGAGCAAAAGGCACTTAAGAGCAGAGGGACATTTTTGATTTGGGTGCAGGGAGTTAGGCACATGCCCCCTTCATGCCATTCATTGATAACTTACACAGTTGTGTATGTGTTAACCACCGGTGGAAAGAATATTACCTCTGTTTGTCTTAAGTTGGGGTTATGCCAAAAAAGTTCTGTAAGTTAAAAAGAAAATAATAAGGTCTCCAAACATTTTTCGGTTCCTAATAACATTCTGGTAGTTTAAGTTTTCAATCTTCTTTCTTGATTAACTTCCCCACTCAGTGTCTGGGCTGGCTGCCTGTCTGCCTTCCTTGCAGCGAAAGCTTGCAGAATTCACTGGACTTCACGTCTGCTGTCTTAGGGACTCAGCGGCAAACCAACTGTGGTTTCAAAGAATGAAAGTGAGTTAGGCTGTTGGTTTTCAGGGCTGGCATGGGTTTTCAGGAACTGGATTTCTTTCCATCTGGAGAATTGGTTAATGCACTTATTGCTGGGGATATGCCCCTTTGAATTTGACTTGTGCTTTCTGAGATAGAGTACCCATATTCTTTTTGTCTAAGATGGGGAGTGGGGTGGGGCAGAAATGAAAAATTTAAAATATTAACTTTTTGAGATATAATTCACCTTACTATACAGCTTACCCACTTAAATCATCCAATTCAGTGGTTTTAGTGTATTCATAGAGTTGTGCCACCATCACCACAATCGATCTTAGAACATTTTCATCACCCCAAAAGAAACCCAGTTCCCATTAGCAGTCATTCCCCATTTTCTTCCAGGTCTCCCTCTCCTTTATCTCCCCAGCCCCCAACCCTAGTCAACCACTAATGTATTTTCTGTCCCTATAGCTTTGCCTGTTCTGGATCAGAAGTACAGTTTCAGTTTCCTAGATGGTGGTGACCAACTTTCGATACAGAGTTCATGTTTGGAATTTCAGGTGGGGTAACTTGGAATCCATAAGGTGAGCTCCTAAAGGGGTTTCAGTAGAGGTGAGGTCCCACGGACAGTCATGACCTGGGACCTGGAGAAACCCGGCCATGCTTTTGTGTTTCTGCCCCACCGAGAGGAGAAAGGATTCATTCTAGTTGATGGTACTTTTATGGATGCAGAGGAGATCACCAAAACAAGACTCTAAGAATCCAGCCCCTTCCTGCAGTGAACTTCCTAGAAAGAAACATGCAGCAGGTGCTAGATGAAGTGAGAACATCGTCTCAGTTATTTTTCAGACTCTGAGTCCTCAGAATAGCTAAGATTTTGTGAAGTCTTGCGTCTCTCTCTCCATTGTAAGATTAAAGAACCATTGTAGTTTAGAGGGGCAGATGAGGGCCTTTGGCTATCTCTTGACTTTGTAAAGCACTAGACTTTCCTCTCTGGTGTAGCACTGAGTGACTACCAATGATTCTTTCTTTTTAAAATATTTTTAAAAATGCATATTTCTATAGCACTAATTTTTTTTCATTAAAAATTATTTTATTGAGGAATAAATTACATATAACATTAATTTCAGGTGTACAGCAATTCGATATTTATGTATATTGTGAATGATCACCATAATAAGTCTCATTAACATCTGTCACTCTTCATAGTTACAAATGTTTTTTGTCATAAAAACTTGTAGGATCATTCTTAGCAACTTTCAAATGTGCAAAGCAGTGTTAATAACTATAGTCGCCATGCTGTACATTACATCCCATGACTTGTTTTATAACTGGAAGTGGTTCTCTTTTAACTGGCTAATAAAGCATTTAACAGGATGCTAAAAACCTGCTCCTGGGTCTGATTTGATAAGATAAATGGTTCATCCTCTTTGTTCACTAAAAAGAGTTAAAAAGCCAACATCAAGAGTTGCATACTTTAAAGCATGCCACCCTTTTATAATTCTTTACAATTTGGTATAGGCTTTGC